GCCGGCAGGCGGGGCTGCCTCCGCGGGCAGGGCGGGAGAGAGGGCTCTTCCTCCGCTCTTGCACTGTCTGGGTCAGAAACCGGCTCTGGGGGCCCTGGCAGAAGGAATAACGCTACGTTGGCCGGGTCTCTCTGGGCAGCGTTTAATCACTTGGTGGCTGTCATGCGTTTTCCGTTTAAAAATCTAAATTTGAGCTTTTCTGCTTGCCGTTGAGTTCTTTCCAACTCCGCAGGTATGGGTTTTGACGGCTTTTCTTTGCCCTACTGATGTAGACGAGGGGGGTTGGTATGTATGCTAAGGCAGCGGAGAGCACCCAGTTCCCTGGTCGATTATTTTAACCAGTTGGTAGGTTTTCAGTTTCCAGCTGCCAGGGGATGTTCGGTGCCGTATGAACGGGCCCAGCGTCTGGCTGGCCGTGTAAGAAAGGCAGTCCCAGCTGCGGAACGCGGCTCATGGTGGTGCAGATGAAATCTTGGTCCGTTTAGTTTTTGGGACAGAAGCTTTTGCAAAGGCTTTCAAAGATAACTTGAAGGCCACTTTACAGAAACTACTGAAACAGAGTGAAAATGTCTTGCTTCCACTACCAAAATGACAACTTCACGTTTAAGGCTTTTCAAGGCAATTTGTGTTTTCTCCTTCCTGTGTCTGCAGAAGTTCTTTTAACTTTCCGGTGGTGTAGTGTAAGTACTTACTCAGTCCTTACTCTCTGAGATGCACAGTTTAAGTAAGCATATCTTAAATGCTTTTTATGTTGACTACCCAAAAGGTCTGAGTTTGCTTGGCCCTGATAGCGGCTGTAGTTTGAGTGTCGCTTTAGAATGAGAGGAGGGAAAAGGGCAAAGTTACAGTTTTGTTTTCAAGGTTCCACTCTTCCCTATCAGCTCCTCTTTCTTCTTTTACTTCAGTAAGTGCTATATCCAGGCTAAGACTTAAAATGTTCTTTCACTGCTAACAAGTTTTGGTACTGCATTGGGAGTGGGTTCTTCTTGCTAATCGATGACCTGACTTAGCCCACAGTCACTCACAAGGAAAAGATTCCAGTTGGACTAAGATGTCTTCAGTAGCATCTCTGCAGCTGCCCAAGATGTGTTATTGCACACATGTGACTGGTTTGTCAAACTAATAAACAGCACAGACATTCATTTCCTAATCGTCTTGTAGTAACCACAGTCATGTAGGGTGGTTACTTGCCTATAATTATTTGAGGGCTTTTTTTCATAGGGCACACAAATTCCACTGTAGAGTTTCTAACATCTCCCTTTTGTCCCTACTTTAATCTGAAATAACCTTTAAATTTAGAACTGTGAGGTGTGTTTTAAAGATGATTATCCTGGGTAATATGTTTCCTGTAGAGCAGGTGTGATCTCTTGTTTATAAACTAGCTGGCCCCCAAGAACAACTAATAATGTTGTAAGTTGAACTCCTTGTTTGTTTGTTTTTACGGGGTAGAGGGAAGTAGGTGAAGAACAAACTGTTTCTGTAGCTATTTGGCCACCTGTGTGGGTGCTTGCTAGATAGTTTAAGTGCTACTTTATGAATGTCTTCTGTATTTTATTTATTCCTTCGGAAAGAAAAACAAAACCTGTAGGTTGGGAAGGATTTTTCTTTTTTAACACTTGCAAGCAAATTTGTTCTAAGTAAAAAAAGAAAAACCCACCTAACCGCTGTTCATAACATTTATGTCCATCTTAAATATTTTAGGAATAATAATGGTCTCAGTTTGCAGTATTTCGGTGGCTGTTATGTTGTTTTCAGTCATGATAGGTCAGTCATGAGCCTCTAAGAATTCAAAGTATTTTCTGAGGCTTAATATAGAAAATAGACACCATTTGCATTTTTATTTCTCACATTTCATAACCAGCAGGCCTTTACAGAAATGTGAAGAATAATGTTCAGTATTTCTTGCCCAACAGTTTTCCTTACTGCTCTAAGCAATTTGAAGGTAGCTCAGGAAGAGAGGGGTGTGTGGGGAGGGGCTTTTAGTAGGATTTGTCTCACCCCTCCATTGAAATGTGATAATAGAAAAGGCACAACATGTAATTTTTTAGCTGGTCCTAAAATGAGCTGTGGGCTTTGGATTGTTTTTTATTAGAAAACTTGAAATCTCTTGTGTCTGACTACTGTCGGATCTCCTTCCATCACAGGCTTTGTCAAATCCCTGTTTCTGCTTTAAAGTGGAAGCTGAACTATCAGAAACTTCAGGTGTTGCTGATGTTCTCAGCTTGCTGCTGATAGCAAAACAAACATTCCAAATTTGGGTGTTTTTCCTTATTAATGATTTTAGAAAAAACTTCATGAACAGGCACTGAACACCTCCTTGTTGCTGTATCATTGGCCATGCCAGGGGTATATGCTGAGCGTGGATGGGGCATAGAAGTAAGACCGGGAGCTGGATTGGCTCCTCTTAATTCTTTCTGGTTCAGCTCTCCTGTAGAGAGCCTACAGAGTGGATTTCTCTTGGCATCGTTTTATTTCCAGTAGCTCCCTAGCACTAGGCAGAGAGATGCTACTAGAATTTCTGTGGGCTTTTCACCACATCGGTTACCTTACTACTTACCACACGTGCTTCAATAAACATGGAATCTGCCATTTCTCGCATGTTGTCTGCATGACTCTGAAAACATTTACTGTCTTCGGGGGAGTTGTGGACCTAAAAGTAGTGGCTGTAAATGTCTCTTTCTTCCCTACCTGTCCAGGGTACAATAAAAGCCAGTTTACCTTCACAAAGAGGATTTTTCTGTTCAAGCCAAGGAGTTTAATTGTAAAACTCATTACTTGCTGATGTTTGGTTCTTTTACTCTGTAGAGAATTTCACAAGACCTCTCAATTTCTACTACAGTTTCTTATTCTTTGTGTTGTCAGCAGCATTCAAAAGTGTAATATATTGAGATTTATATCAGGAGATATATATATGGTTTGGGGTTTTATTTTTTAATGTGCTTATTAATTGGTATTTAAGGGCTTCAAACTTGCAGAGGGGAACAAACACTATTGCCTGTATGCAAAAAGCCACAACTTTTGCTGCCCTGTCACATTAACCAAGACATCAGCCTATAAAAGTATAGTAAGTGCTTCTTCTCTATTGGGTTTTATAATTTTTTAAAAGTTTGAATAATATATCCTCTAGAATGTAACAAAACAACAAGGTAGAAATACCATGCAAAAGCGTGTTAAAAGCCATGTTTTCTTTAGGTGTGGTTCTGCTGATTTTGATTTCATAAAGTAGAATAGAAAATACTGTGTTATATCGTGTATAAATTGAGATAGAAAGGGGAAAGCTGGGTGCACCTGGCCATGTGTGCTGGGTGGTTAGCATCAGCTGAGGAGAGCTTTGTTGTTCCAGAAAGGTAAGGTTTCTATTCCTAATGTGCTGAATATATTTGTTTCCTTAGGTATATAGTATTCAAACCTTGCACACTGAAGATGTTTGCTTTTGTTTGTTTTTTTTAAAGTAATCTTTACTATACTGAAGGAGGTAAGGTTACTGCCACCCACTTTACTTAGGCATGAAACTAACTACCCAGTGTTATGTTTTAGTGTATTGTTTCAAATTTGTAGAGGTTTGTGTCCCCAGGTTTTACATACAGTTCCAAGAGATTTGGGTCTCTCTGGATGTTGTTCTTGTTACACGAACCTTTTATTGTGAAATATTCTCAGTGTGGAGGGTATTCAAGTTTCAATGTTAGCAACTTGTGAAAGGTGTTTATGCCTTCTGCCTATGGTAATACTAAACATCAAGGCAGTATTTATCACACACGTTTAGAGAATTAATGGACCATTAGGACTTTACATCCCATTTGAGTCTAGCAATCCAGAATTACACTGCTCATTTTTATGAAGAGGTAACCTGTTTCAAGTTTATGATGCAAGATTCTCGTTCGCAACTATCTTGATAAAGACATAGTGGTATTGGAAAACCACCTAGTATCTCTTCTATCAGTTAGTGTGATTTATCCTACCTTAATTGGCTAGGTGTCTGAGCAGCGGCTTTTCTTGGTTTTCGGTTTTTTTTTTTGTCAGACCAAGAGGAATTTTTCAGATTGCTTTTCAGACTTCTTGCATTTCTAAAATACATATTAATATTACGCAGAAGAGACTGAGATTTTGTTTTTCTGTTGTGTTAAGTGTACTCCTTACTGTATCTGATGTTGCAGTAGAAATAATGTTAGCGGGACTTCACCGTATTTTGTTTCATGTCAGTGCTACCATACAGGTGCATGTATCAGTATGCTGTCAAGGCATGGTGTTAACTAGTTGTGTCCTACACTGTACAAGGGAAATGAGTACTAGTAATGAGTTCACAGCGGTACTGACACTTTATGTGGGAATTCCTACTTGTAATTCTGTTTTCCATCTGCTTTTAGTAGTATCTGCAAAGGTTAGTATTTACATTTAAACTATTAGCAATTGACAGTTTAATCTTGGTGAATGATTAACAATAATTTAATAAAGCTTTCAGAAAGAAGGTATGGATAGATATGTTGAATTGTTTAGTTTTTAGAATAGAGAACTGAAAAGCCAGTGAGATGGGCAATTTGTCCTGTGGTGGGTCTTCCAGAATGCTGCAGTTTTTACAACACAGGGCACAAATGTAGCTTCTGTAATGACTTCTGTTAATTCATACCTATTTAGTAAGAAAGCAGGGAGTACCTGAAAGCTTTAAATGGATGATCTATATTCAGGTGATGTGGTATAAGAAATTAGCTCTGGATCTTATGTGGCATTTAAGTCATGACTGAGAAAGTGCAGAACTCTTACTTAGTTGTTGAAAGAATAATAACGTGAACAAAAATAATCTGTTGATATTGTTGTGTGGTGTTCAGGTGAAAATGAATAGTGTCCCCTTTGATTTTGCTGCAGCTAGGTGAAAGTCCAGCTGTCAGACACAGAAGTTGCTTTTCACAATTCCTGAAGGGATGCCCGTTGAGCAAAAGCAGCGTGCGCTTGAATTGCTGTACTCAAAAGAATTCGGCTTATGCAGAGGCTAAGAAGTGCTGGTTCACATTTATGGTCACTGAAGTGTGCGAGACAGCTCAGACTGACTTCAGTTTACTGTGTTACAACATTCTATACTAGATAGAGTAAAATGAATAAAATGTATGTTGTTTCAGCAGCTGAATGGCAAAGTTCTGCTCAAATTACTGGTTGCATTTGAACACTTTGTCTTGACAGGCTTACTTGTAAAGACAATGAATGTCCCTGTGCTGATGACTAGAGTTCTGTTGCTGTGACAAGCCTTTCTTTTAACTAATCACTTTGCTTACAATTTGATTACAAATCAGTCACACTTTTAAATAATTCAGTTGCATGCGTGACACTTTCTCAGCCATCTCTGTGACCTGGTTGTACTCTTCATGAGTGTAAAGCACAGCAGAGTACCCAGAAGGAGGTCTAAAACTCTGCTGTTGGATTTCTGGCTATCTGGGTAAATCTAGGACTACCTCTAAACTTGATAGGTATTTCAGAACTTGGCAATATTTCTAAGGCTTTATAAATAAAACAATCAGGAAGTATGGGTGATACTAAAATAACACTGCCAAAATTGTGGTGATTTTACAGAGGTGGCTGTTGATCGATGATGCGCAGAGCATTCCTATGGCATAATGCTGCATAAATTGCCTTGCCTATTGGTGCGTGGGCTGGTTTTCCAAATGTACAGGAAAACAGACAAATCGAGTTGGTTGCTTGCAAGGCAGTGCAATTTCTGTGTGATAGCTGCTACTGAGCTCGCAGGGGTTAGGTGTGGGTTCGTACCCAGATTCAGGAGTAGAGTTGATTAGATGCTCAGTGGGAAGAGAAGCTTAAAACATCTTTGCCCAGTTGGTTGCTTGCTCTGCCCAACTTTCTTGAGCAGTCTTCCTCCTTCTGACATTTCTCTGCCAAAGAAATGATGGGCACTGGATATCAGTGTCCAGTGTTACGTCTGAATCGAGCTTCATGTTCTCAGTGGCGTGGCCAACTTTATAATTTAGAAACCACATGAATGTTGCTTTAAAACTACCACATGAAATAATTTGTCAATATTGTCTTTCAGATACCTCGGCTATTTAAAGGGAGTTTTTTCATAGATTTAAGATTTTAAAGTCGTTATGACATTTAAGAAGATGAAAATTTCTGGTTTCAAATGTTGTTTTTGTGTTTCCTTGTGTAGCTATGTAGGAAACCTCTCCAGAGATGTGACTGAAGTTCTTATACTTCAGTTATTCAGCCAGATTGGACCATGCAAAAGCTGTAAAATGATAACAGAGGTAAGGCCGTCCACATCCAGGGGGTGGCAAATAAAGTGTAACTCAGGAGGAAGTTGTGCAAAATAAATGGAGTTGAGGGCTTCTGTTGACATTACTGGTTGGTTATGTTTGGCTTCGGGGATAAGTTTTTGCAGAGGAGACCTGTGCGTCTGTCTGTAGCCCTCACATACCTTTTACCAGCTCATGACGAGATTCCAATTTATTTCAAAGACTGTTAGCCCTTCTTGTCAGAGCCATGTTGTTCTGATGATCAGAAACCTTATTGCCTCAAGTGTTACTCATGGCTGTTTTGTATGTTTTTCACTTTATTTGAACGTGATCCTCAGTAACTCTTTTCCCATGTGAATAAACTATGAAAAGTAAAAAAATCCTTCAAAATGAGTTTTGCCCTTCTGAAGCCTCTTCTGAGTGAGTAGCTCTTATCTCCACCTTTCTGTTCTTAAATTAATTTTTCCTTGGAATACAGTGACAAAATTTCCATAGTTTTCCAGATAAGGTTTTGTACAGTGTTGGTGAGTATTAATTCTTTCTTCTCCCTGTTGTAGATACTCTGATTTGTTCAGGTTGGGAGCCATTTCTGTGACCTTGTTGACATATCTGAGGCAACTTCTTGCTCCATAATATTTTTTTCCTTCCTTCTGCATTTAAAACTGGTAAACCTTAGGCAGGCAGGGACTGATCGGAACTTTTCCTAGGGTTAATCTTTGGCTGTTCAACTCTGGTTTTCCGTATACTCTTTGTACCAATTAATACGAGCCACTTACTATGGTTTGTACTGATTGGTAATTATACATTTCCTGAGTACAGTCACATTATTTCTTTGTCAGGATCCTTAATGAAAGTATTAAAAAGCAAGCCTTGCGACCAGACTTCTTTAGGAACATTACTAGGAACTCCTCTGTGCTCGTCTTTTTCTTCCAGTGTGACACGCTGCTGCTTTGGGTTTGAGCTGCTTGCTACAGCAGAAGGATAAGAGAGAATAGTTGTTATTTTGTTCTGAAGAAACAGTTTGGGTTGTCGTACGCCCTTCAGAAATCAGGTGCTGCTGCTCCAGCCTCTGACTGATTGAGAGAATGTTGCATCACTTTGTTTCCTTGAGAACCAGATGAGAAATTCCAATAGGCGTTTTACCACAGCAAGTGAGACATCTTCATGAAATGAAGATGAGATAAACAAAAAGCTCCTTGCAGCTATATTCAGTCACAGGGAGGTGACCGCACTGGGCTGACCTCGGCACCTGTCACCAAGCAGTCTTGGATCCTGGGCTGGAACTGGCCTGCAGCTACAGTGCTTTTAACTGTCAGAGTACCTGTCCGGAGCGTCCATCCTCCTAACCAGTGTGTTGTAAACTTTTCATAGCCCTGAGTTACATTTCAGTAGCTCTTACCTGTCCATTGGTATTACCACCATCAGTCAAGTTTATACCTGAATGTTCTCCTTCTGTTATTACTTTTAGTCAGGTGTATCAACTGTTTGCTCCCTCTTTCTTGTTTGTAGAATGTGTGATGTGAACATGTCAACTGCTTAGGGATTTCACGTGTTTATTCGGTTGTTGTACAATCGGCAGGGGGTGGGGTGACTAGCGTTTACAGAAAGATTTACCTAAAGATCTGGGTATCTACAAAAGAACTGACTGAACTTCTCATGTTCAGTCAAGTACTTAGTGAGAAAGAAGATTTTCCCACTGTCTGAAAGTGAAATTGCACTTCAGTTGATGCATAAACTGCTCTAAATTGTTTAACGCCCTAAATGGGTTTCCCAAATCTGGTTTTTATTGCAGCAGGAAAGTGATATGGGAAGAGGGATGAGTTACGGCTTGTGGTTTTGGGGTGCCTGAGGTGAATGTGCTTTTGGAGCACTTCATGGCTGTTGTGACTTAAAACACTTTTTAAAGTAATATCAGCTGTATCATCTCATCTGTCCATTTTGCATCATTCAGGCACACCTAGTCCTGACGGTGTTCAGAAGGATGACTTCAGACTACTTGATCACTTTAGGTATAGAAAAGCCTTGTGATCAGCATCCTAACAGCTTCCCTTGTTCAAGTGCAGACAGAACCATGTTTGAAGATGGACAGTCCGGTTTTACAGGGCAGAATTAGAATTTCCTTGTCCATATAAGCACGTATGAATTTTCAGAAGTCTAATAGCAAAACTGGTAAAGGCCTACTCTTAACTTGTGTTAGAACTTGTGCTCTGTCTGCTGCTGGAGAAGGTTGGTATGCAAAAAAGCTGATGTCAAAGCAGTTTCTTTATGTGCCAGACTCATCACTGTCCAGGCAAGAAATAACTTTAGTTTAATATTAGTGTTTTTCATCTTTTGGTCCATGCACATGCAGAGTAGAAAATTTAGATGTTTTGGTGTAAGGCTCTGGTTTTTGTACTCGCATCTTTTTGGCAGTTTCATCCAGTGTTAAAGTTGTCTTTCGAATAGTCATTGCCACCTGATCAACTTTTAAGAAAACTCACATTCTTGGCACTTAATACTCTGGTGCATTTAATACCTCAGTGAGCTTTGTCAGGATTTTCAAGGTGATTTGATAGGCCATCCTAGAAAACCTGGTTCTACCCAAGATTTAACAGTGCAGCAATTAATTAATTCATCTCTCTTTCCCCTCAGTCAAACTATTTTGAGTCTTTTTAAAGTAATATTTCCCACTCACTGGGTGTAACATTTTTCACTGAATACTGCGGATAGGCAACTTCAGGTTGCTGTCTGCTGGCAATTTTCAAGCAAATAAAAGGAAAGACTTCTTATGTAGGAGGAGAGAGAAAACTGGGTAAAATCTCTCTGGGGAACAAACCTTCCAAGCTTTTAGTGTATTTGAGACAGAAGACAGTTTTTGTTCTTCGCTCCGTTCTTCCTCTTTTTTTTCCCCTCTTCTATCCAGTCTGCAGATCACTTTTTGGATAGTTGAATTATTTTTAGTTTAGTCAACTTGAAGTACTGCGCCATCGTGCAAAGTAAACTGTACTTCAGAAATTGCTGTACCTTTAATAAAGCGTCCGTCTTAATTCTTGCATTTAAGTGTATTGTCAAAGGCTATTTCATAAATCTGATGCAAATCATTCTTAAAGTTTCTAGCTATAAGTAATATATTTTCCTGGATTTTCTTCTCAGCAACCCGATAGCAGAAGGGTCAACTCTTCTGTTGGATTTTCTGTTTTGCAGCATACAAGCAATGACCCTTATTGCTTTGTGGAATTTTATGAACACAGAGATGCAGCTGCTGCATTAGCTGCTATGAATGGGAGAAAAATTTTGGGAAAGGTAAGTTGCTTACATTCTAATCTCAGATATAAGGAGTATAAGTTTGTGTGAAAATATTGCTAAAACTGTGGGGCATTCATTTTGTTGGAGGTGCATGCCAAGGTTAAATATTGTTCGAATGATATTTTTAAAATACTGATTTAAGAAATGTAAGTCTTAATTTGGGAAATGATTGTTTGTGATGTTGTTATTATGTACTATTAGACACCGTTTATATTCTGATTGATGGTTTGTAGACATTGGCAGTTGTAACCTACCCTTGAATGAACTTACAAATTGTAAGGATTTTGTGAATTTATACTACATCTTGTACTTATTTTCAGGAGGTCAAAGTAAACTGGGCAACAACACCAAGTAGCCAGAAAAAAGATACATCCAGTAAGTAAAGTAATGTTGCAGCATCACTTCTACACAAATATTTCACAGCGTGGTAATAATTTGTCATAAATGCATTTAAACATAACTTTTTCTCCTTCCCATCTTGTATTCAATAGAGTGTTGCAAACTAATTCTTCTGTTTCTGCTTTACAACTGGGGAAACTGGAGTGGACAGATTAAATTGCTGCTGCTCATCAGACAGAAGCCTGGGCGTTCCTGGTTCCTAGTGCTGTGTGCAGAGCGTCACTTTCTCAGGAGTGGAAATTTTAGATAGCAGTTAAATATTTGATTAGTAAATTATTTATTTTCAGATCACTTCCATGTGTTCGTTGGGGATTTAAGTCCAGAAATAACAACAGAAGACATCAAGTCAGCATTTGCTCCTTTTGGTAAAATATCGTAAGTATCATCATAAACATTTCCAGTATCAGTTAGAAAATATGACAGTGAAAATCTGAGTTGTAATGTTTTCTCGTGTGTTTAGATAATTTTTCTGCTGTTAATTTCCTTATGTTGGGTGGGCAGTAAAGACGGGTGGTGGTTTCATCTCGGTATCTATTGTGACTGTAAATAGAGTGGTGTAATTGTGCTTTGTTTTTGCTGAAAGCAATGTGCTTTTAACTTCATTTATATGCTAATGTCCTTCAACTTCTTATTAAAATTTAATTGCTGTTCCTAAGTGTGACTTCTTGTTGAGAATGTGTACAGAATAGTGACAAGTGGTCTATGTTGCATCCTCAGTGTATTTTTGTATGCATTCATACTGCGTTTTACAGGCAGCGTAGAAAACTGGGCAATTGGAATATGATTGTGCAATGCAGCTAGTTGATTAACATGTGAATATGTTAAAAAAGCTAGTGTTTATGAGAACCAAATCTACTTTGTTAGATGATAATGGGGGATAAATTAAGATGATAATATTTAACTGAAAGAATGGTGGATTTACAATATGTGCACATTTCTGCCAGTTAAGAGAATGTTTCTTTAAACTTCTCATAGCAAATTCAGGTGGTGCTAAATCGCCTGCTGTTTTAATTGAACATGTATAACATTAGAAGAATCCTTGTGAGTGCTAAAGTATATATGTCCTTAAGAGTACTGCTACAAAAAAGTCGGTTAATCTTCTATCAGTTTATGCAAATATTTTCAAGTTGCACATGAACACTTTTGTACTACTTTACAGGAATATATTTCTAAGAACAAAATTCTTATTTTTCTCTTGTTCTGTACGCATATTTTTAAATGAATCATAAATCTTATTTCTTACCTCTGCTATTTTGTTTACTTTGCTTTTTGTCTCTTAATGTGGTAAGTAGTACTGTTTAAAAATCAATTTAAAGAGAATAATTCAGGTTTCTGTTTCTCAATCTATATTTATACCTGAGACCTGCAGTTTTTCTAAAGTCCAAGTCACAATTAAAAGTAATAGCATTCTGGTTATTTTGCAGAATTGCTCATAAGAATGGACAGGATCTTGAAGGCTAACTGCAAGGAACTGTGCACACTGGAACTCAGTTGTAGATTTTTTCTCATTTCTATTTATTCTTATTATACATTATTTATATATACATATTTTAGTATTTACATTTTAACATTCTATATTCAGTGCAGTTCTATATTTCCAATCATTTTAACTTACTCACTAAAATTTCTGTGTAAATTTGTTGTTTTCGTACTGGTGTGCTTAGCATTGTTGTTAGTTTTATTCTCCTTTCTTAAATTTCTGAAAATGTCAATTTTTCAAAATTTACAGCTGCCCAAACTCCAAAATGATGGTAGAGAATTGACCAAGAAAAATAAAGAAATCTGTTAACAGGCCATGTATGCCTTTTAATTCCTATTTTTTCCTCTTTTTCGATTTTTTTAATATTTCATATATTTTGTATCACTAGGCAGAAGACATTTAACTATTTAGAAAATGCATGGTAAATTAGATAGAATTGTTACAGTAATTTATAGAACAGTAAACCTTAGAGGACCCTAGCCAATAGAATATTAGAAAAGGAAACTTTGTTTCTCTTATACTTCAAATTTGAACATTCTAGTTTTAGCCAGTATAGGCTATGTGGATAGGTTGCATGTTTATTACATGTTATTTTTTTTGTCCTACTGCTTTTTTCTAACAGGTAAAGAAGCAATAGGGAGAGTTCAGGAGTTACTGTAGTTTTAGGGCTAACTGAATTTATAAGAAAAAATTATGCTCACAATACAGTGTGTGTGGTTCCTTTTAGTTTTTATTTTGCAGGTGATTAATATTACCCTCATATAGCTGTGCTTCTTTTCACAGGGATGCACGGGTAGTTAAAGATATGGCAACTGGAAAGTCAAAAGGCTATGGTTTTGTATCTTTTTATAACAAACTGGTGAGTAATGACAATGTAGACTTAAAATAATTGCCTATTCTCCACTTCTGGTATTGCCTCTGTTTATATAGTCACTACCTATCAGACTTTTCCCAAGGGAAATAAGTTTGCCGGTACAGGACAGGTTTAGTTTAGTCAGAGTTGCGTTGTTTGCGGTTAAGGGTTGAAACAACTCAGGTGACAGTGATGCTATGAGAACATTGCATAAAGAGGTTTGAGAACGTTGTGAAAGAAGATTCCTGAACCTAGAGAGCTTGTCTGGGTAGTTCAGCTTAGTCTGTGGAGCCACCTCTCCTGCAGCGTGGGACAGGGTGCCTGGGCCCAGCAGCAGTGCTTTGGGTCCCTTAGCTGAGGCACAGTGCCAGGTCCAGTGAGGTTCCCTATGTTGAGGCAACAACATCCTGGAGCCCTCCGTCTGAAGGAGTGCGGTGCCACGCTACGCAGCAGGGCTTGGTGTTTGCCAGGCTTAGGTTTGTGCCAGAGCTCAGTCGTTTGAGGACCTGATGCAGCCAAGTGTGTCATGCACTGAAGTATGGCTGGGTTTATTTGCTTGAGCTCTACATCTCTGTCAAGTTCTTGGTTGGTCCTTTGAGTTGTGAGTGTTTTGAAATCTAAGACGGTTCTTTGTATTGAGCAATGAGTTTGCAGCCAAGAGTTGATTCTGTACTTGTAAAGCGTTTTGCGTATGCCTGTTGTGAAACTGAAAGCTGTTCCCGAGTTTATGTTGGGTGTCGTTACATAATGGATAATGTCATGTATGCTTAGGAAAAATGCTTCCAACAAGTGACTAGTGCCCCTTTCTGATACAGATATTAAAGATGTTATTTGTAGAATTTAATCAGTACAGTACTGATGAAAACAGGGCTATGCCCTACTATTGATAGCAATTACAGTTGACTCAACAGATAAATGTGGGTAGTTTTGACACTAAATAAACAGTTTTTCCTTAAATATTTTGTGTAGGAAAAGCAAAGTTAAGGGTTTTAGGCATAGAAGCCTGTTGGGGTGGTCAGAACGCACCCACCCAGATGGACTGTATGTCAAGACTGTCTTCTCTAACAGTTCGTTATCTGGAGCTGAATCTTAATCAGAAGAAAGAGTTGAATTTCTTCAGATTTGCAAATGCCATACTACAATTCAGTGCCTTGATTTAGCATATATTTCCACTTAGACTTCACTTATTTTGTGTTGCTACTGAAATAGATGTCTGATTTCCTTGTACCCCTCTTCCCTTACGGTATGGTTAGGTATGGTTTGTGTGACAGTAGGGGAAATGTTTTAACAGTCATGTGGAATGCAAGTTACTGGATTCTTTTAAGACTGAGCTGTAAAAATGCCAATTTATTAATTCTGCAAGATTAATGGATGAAATCTAAATGTAATGCTAAAAAGGACGTGTAAGATTAATGTCCTGATTGCTGTTTCAAACAGCAGTGCTACCTCTAGGGTTCTGGCACGGCTATCCTGAGCTGGTACTTTAAGGCCTGGGTTTTTTTTAATTTATTGTCAGCCTGCTAGGTTTGGGCAATGGGATGTGTTCCCAGAGTTACATGTTCCAGGTACTCCAGTCTGAGGTTTTAATGCACGCCACACTTCTGAGAAGCTTTCGTTCCCACATTGACCAGAAACAGCGTGTGGGCTCTATTCCATTTTTGTCGTAGCTCTGGTCCTCAGGACTGGCAGCAGGATGCTCTAGGGCTCATTTCCTTTCCTGGTCAGTTGGTAACTTACTATGTTTTGGCAGTGAGGGTGCTTGAATAAGTGGGTTTGTTGCCTGGTGTTTTGTTTGCAATTAGAACTTAGGATCAAGGTCCTGCCTGTGATTTCTGTTTGACACGAATCTCTTGTAGCTGGAAGCTTTCAGTATGAGGCAGGACAATGCTGGCCTCTCACCTTTAACTTGTCCATATGTTTTCTTTGTCCCTTCTGCTTGGCGTTTTCTTTCTTAAGCTTTATACCCTTGGAAAAGCATTTCAAACGTATTTACTATTTCTGCTGCTTCTCTTCTTTCAAAGCGGTTGGGAGAAAAAGTGCTTCTTGCAAGTGTTAGCACTTACCCTTGCTTACTAGATGTTTTTGCTTACAGCGTGAACTTAAAGATTGGCTTCCAATTCATGCTCAAGATAAGTAGTTAAGCCCCGTGGGCCATGGACTCGTGTGTGTGTGGTCATATGGTGACTTAGAGAACTTACCAAGCTGTCTGTGGTCAGGTGTAAATTGCCTGCTGCCCTAGGGCAGGAGAGAGGATGGGATGGGGGGGTGTGTGCAACTAATAAATTAAAGGAAACACGTGCTCAATCTGTTTGTAACTCAGCATTACAGTTTCTTGGTAACTACCATTCAACTTTTCCAGAACTTAGGACTTTTCTACCTGAACTTGGCCTGTTATGTTGAATGCAGATGAAGAATCTGAAAAAGCACATTCAGATCTTACTATGCAATGTCTTTTGCAGACACGCGGTGTGTGGTATAAATGGTGGTTGGGGTACTTCTGAGAAATCTTTCAGTGAGGGATTTGGATGATAAAAAGTCTTTCCTGACTTCGCAGTTCTTACTCCTAAATATACTTTTGTGTGTTGTATTTTAATACAGTCAGTTGGCAAAATAATGTGATTAAAGAAAATATATATAGTGATTGTATTTCAGTAGTTGCTTCTGGGATTTTCATGACCTTTGTACTTTTTTGGGCAGCCTTCAAATACTGTAGTACAGCTGCTGGTTCTGTAAAGGTAGTATGTGTATGATTGTAGTTGGCTTCTAATCCGTGTGTAGAAAATAGGGGTGGGAGGAAGGTTGTATCAAATCACTTGTGAGGACCTTCTCTGTAACCAGTTGGCTTCAGGTTCCTTTGTTTTTGGCTGCTTGCTGTGGATGTTCAGAATATGCTTTTTAGTACTGTTCCTGATTTTTGTAAACAGAAAAAACTGATAACCAAATCTTCTTAGAAGTAGCCTTGTATCTCTTGTTTGGATGTGTTATAATCTTTATTTTAATCTCTGTAGGATGCAGAAAATGCTATTGTACACATGGGAGGCCAGTGGTTGGGAGGCCGTCAGATCAGAACTAACTGGGCGACACGGAAACCACCAGCACCCAAAAGTACACAAGAAAGTAAGACCTTTGTGTAACCCTGTGTTGTGTTTGCTGTTTTGCACATCACTGTTCATTGGGGAAATAAAACATAATGCTGCCAAAGTCACGTCATCTAGCTTGACTTTCAGATCTTAAAGAATAGACTTTGTGTTTGTATGTTATGTCGGTGTGGTGGTGGTACTGCTGGTCTGTCATATTGGGTACGTGTTAAATGTGTAAGTCATACTTGTGTACGAGGTAAGTTTCTGGGACTCTGTGGTTACTGTTAACCTGCTGCTTAAAAACAGCCTTCTCTCTTTATAGATAACACAAAACAATTGAGATTTGAAGATGTAGTAAATCAGTCAAGTCCAAAAAATTGTACTGTGTACTGTGGAGGAATTGCCTCTGGGCTAACAGGTATGATTTAGTTTAATTGGGAGGGGTGTTTAATTACTGAAGCTTTTTGGACATCAAGATGGCTACTAACTCAAAACTATTATATGTTGTAGATCAGCTTATGCGACAGACTTTTTCACCATTTGGACAGATCATGGAAATCAGAGTGTTTCCAGAAAAAGGTTACTCGTTTGTCAGGTATGGATAGAGGAAAAATAAAATCTGTGATTTTGTTAATGTAGTGATGTTTCATCATTCTGTAGTTTCATTTGATTGAACTTCTGCTGATACAGTAAAAACTGTCACCGTATGTTCATAGAAAAATCTGGGACTTTTAAAAGTGGCCACCAATTTTTACCTGAGAAGATGAATATCTGTGAAAGCAGATCTTTTTTTCTCGGGATTTCCTGTATGTATGGAGTCACTTTTTTTTTTTTTAAACAGTCAGGTTGTATAGCATATAAAGCTGTAAATAAAGTACTGCAAAGCATAACATCAGTTTGTTTTTACATTCTTTAGATTTTCAACCCATGAAAGTGCAGCACATGCTATTGTTTCAGTTAATGGAACTACAATTGAAGGACATGTTGTTAAATGTTACTGGGGTAAAGAATCCCCTGATATGACTAAAAACTTCCAACAGGTAACTGCACCTTAACCTTTCTGTTGTAGCACAAAAGCCGTTGTGTATGGCAGCCTGCAATGCCTCCCCAGTTAGAATAGCTGAATGTTGTGGTAGCATTGTTAGGAAATTCCGTGGTCTGTCTCAGTTATGTTCAAATTGGACTAGTGATTTTGATGGAATAGCTGTTACTGTCTTCTGGATATGATTCAAGATAGGGAGAAACTTTGAGGTAATTGAGAGTGGATAGAAAGCAGCCCT